CGGGATTTTGTGACACACAAACGGCGCGTTGTGCACACACAACGCGCCGTTTTCTCGGACGGGCGACCCCATGCTAGGTTAAATGTGTATCGCACAAATGTCAAAATGTGCGCGCGTACAATCCAAATTTACTGTACACAGAGAAAGCGTCGGCCGCCGCCCGACCGACGAGACTCGACATCTACATCCTACCGAGCATGGCTCTGAATGAGAAGTAGCAATAGAATAGCCATTTGGTCATTCATGGTTCTGACGGTGGCTGCTCGGTGAAAACACCATCATGATTGAGCTTAGCTCACAGCACACACTGTAGATAGAGCTCCGACGGCGTCATCGCCGGCGTCCGGTGCCGTGCTCGTCGTTAGGAGCGACCCTGACACACCGTGCTCGTCGTTAGGAACGAGTTCAAAGCATGCGTACAGTAGGGGGACGCACATTATGTGCGCAAGCATTTCCGTGGTAAAACTCATTTTTTGTTCACAAAAAAGAAAAATATGACTCTGACACAAAAAATAATTTCCGGAGGCGCCCATTGTTGCATTTATGCTCCCCGGATTCAGATATTTCAATCAATTCCACTGTACCCGGTTGATAAAGAAGGGCTTCAGGTAATACGCACAACTTTACTCCAACTTTCTCAGCGTAAATTCGTCAATATTTTTCACAATTAAAATTTCGATACAGAATTCAGCAAAGATCGTGAGCATTTTCTCACAACAATTGCAGAATTCTCTCCATTTTCTCCAGGCGTAAAGTTTACGCCCCAAGCTGGAGAAAATCATTTTGCTTCTTCAGCCTTTTGGGAGACACGAATGATGGGTGGCATACTTGTACGTTTCACAACATTTGGCCTGATAACGAAGTTATTTTTTTGGCGTTAACCCTTTACAGTACCCTGGGTACTGTAATACCGATGGACAAGCAAGCCCCTGGAGTACAGCACTGTATCACACGTCTCCCTGGAGTGTCTATTGGAGCTCCCATTCCGGGCGTAAAAGTCTTGTTTGTGCCTCGCGAGAGCAGCCTTACTAAACTCACGACTCACGATGTGCCAACAGCGCAGCAACAACCGCACAACCGCCCTCTTCTTTGACGAGCGTAGGAAATCACTCCAAAATTCACTGTCAAGCGGGTACTTACTGTAAAATAGCTGTGGGCCACTGAAAGCGTTGCACTTATTCGCAACGCTAAAGGTGGAAGCAAATCTTTCTGGCCCCCCTCTGCGAGAAGACCAAGAACGAAAAACGACAAACAACGACGAACAACGACTAACAACAACGAAAGAGAAAGAGATTCGGAGAGAGGGAGATATAGAGGAGAGCAAGCAAGCCCCGCTTTGCCACCGCCGCCTACTCAAATCCGAACAACACCCCCCCTCCCCCCATTCCCAAACGCCATGGCTGATCCATACAGTATCTTGGGCCTCACCGGCCCGGCTGAGCAAGTCGTCCGCCTCATCGCAAGTCTCATCGAACGACACAAAGCCTACAAGGAAAACAAGACGCTCTCTACCGAAATGCTCACCGCCTACACCACCTTGCAGACAGACATCACAGAGCTGAGAGACATGCCGATCCATGGAACGTCGCAGCACACGGGCTTGCTCCAACGTGAAATCGCGGACATCTCAAGTTTCATATTGAAGTCCCTCGAAGAGCTGCAGACAGAGTCGAAAGACCCAAAAGCGAGACTCGGTGCGTACGCCTCTGCAGTGGGAGATAGAGAAGTCCTAGAGAAGCGCAAGCAAGAAGCGGACCGCTTTCACCATCGTATTATACAGGCAAGCACGGGCATCGATACTCGCACGGCCGTCGAGTCGATCAGACGAGGCACGGGTAATGTGTTCAGGCCTTCGATAAGAGCCGAACGTAATCCTGCGTCGATATGTGTGAAGCTTGATTCTCAGGGGAGCGATGGATTACCGGACACGTGTGAGTCGCGTCTGAAAGCGGCTGTGCTACGGAGAGATAAGAACGAGCAAGTGGGCGCGACAGCAGTAGGACAGGGCGGAGTCGGGAAGACATGTGCCCTACGAGCGATCGCGCACGACGATAAGATTAAGGCGGAGTTTTCTGGAGGAGTGTACTTCATGTCGTTGGGGAAAGACGGAAACGTGGGACGGCTGATTGAAGAACTGTGTCTGATTGTGGAAGCGTCCGGTGGGAACCAGACGGCTGCAGAAATGCGGGAGCAGAGCGAGTTTGGAAGGGTGTTGGCAAAAGTACAAGCATGGTTTTGTAGTCATGTATGTCTGTTTATCATTGATGATGTGTGGGTGGTGAATGACATAGGGGCGAATATCCTTCAAAAGTTGTCTGTTCTCGCTGACACTGCAGGGGGCATCGGGGGAAGGAGGAGCAGACTACTGTATTCCACGAGGGATAGGGAGCTGCGTCAGATTGGAGAGCGGGTTGCTTTCGAGCCGAGAGAGACGGAAGGGAAAGAAGCAGTTGACATGCTTGTGCATGCGAGTGAGGCGAATCGAGACGAAGTGGATGATGCGAGATGCAAAGAAGTCGTGAGTGAAATACTGGAAATGTGTGGCGGATTGCCGCTTGCGCTGAACGTGGCGGGAACGAGCGTGAGGTACATGAGGGAAAGATGGGAGGGAGAAGTATCAGAAGCATGGGGGGCGTACCTTTCGAGGATGAAGAGTCGTAACACGATTCGCGGTGAGAGTCCGAAGGACGGATATTCGTCGTTGGATGAGACATTGCATACGTCACTAGATATCGTGGAGTCAGATGTGGGAAGGAGTGGGGAGACGGTTGATGAATTTTCGTTTCGAAAGATGCACCGGAGTCTGTGCGTTATGAAGAAGCAAGACCGGATACCTTTGAGTTTGGTTGGAGATTTGTGGGATATGGACGAGGAGCGGACGGAAAGGTGTGCAAAGGAGATGGAAAGGGTTGGACTAGTAGAAGTGCAGTATGAGAAGGATTGTGGTGGGTTGCGGGTGCATGATCTGACGCACGATTTCGCGGTGGAAGAAGCGAAGAAGACGGAGGGTGTAGAAGAGTGGTATAAGAAGATGGCGGATGTGTGCAGGGCAGGAGAAGGGTTGCTTGCGATGAGTGAGGACCGAGACGGAGAGGGGAAGAGCGCACGGGAGGAGTATGTTTTCGAGAATATATATCGTGTTTTGAAGCAGGGTGGGTGTGTAGAGGAGCTGAAGAGGCTATTTTTGAGTGCGCGATGGGTGAAGACAGTGATACGGAGAGGCGGGGTTTGGCAATACGAGGAAGCTGTGAAGGGATTGAGTAGAGACTTGAAGGGGAAAAGAGGAAGCGGGAAGGTGGGAATGGGACGGGGAGATGAGGATGCAGTGGATGGAATGGTTTTGATGATGCGGGCTGCGCGACTGAGTGTACCGTTTTGTGGTGAAAACAGTGCCGGGATTTACTTTCAACTATATGGGCGAGTGAAGCACAAGGCACGGGACTCAGGTTGTGTGCAAAAGATGCTGGAGGAAATTGAGAGATACGCACCACGGCCGTGGGTGCGGCCTGTGAGTGAGTGTGTAGCGAGAGCCGATGGAAAGATGGTGGAGCAGATTGTTCTGCCATATTTCGATAGCGGAGAAATTCAAGTGGGCATGGATTCCAGTGGTGAAGTGTATGGATGTCAGGTGGAGGGGTTCTCGGCAAAAGTAACAGTTTTCAGGCAATCTGCTGAGAAGGAGACGAAGATGGTTGAATTGGAAGGCGAGTTCGAAACGGAGAGCCAGGGCCCAGGGGCCAATGAACCAAGCAGTCAATTAGAAGGCGAGTTCGAAACGGAGAGCCAGGGCCCAGGGGATCTTGAAGCAAGCAGGCGCAAAATGTGTCGGCGTTTGAAGGCATGTTTTCGGATTTGCTTTGGAAGTGGAACCTCTGAGGTGACTGGAGAAAACCCGAGCGTGACTGGGGAAACCCCGAGCGTGACGAGAGCTAGGTGCGCAACTTTCTGTGGGAGGAAGGGGTATGTTGTTGTAGGATATGAAGACGGGACGTTGAGGCTGTGGAGTACATCGGAGAGGAAAGTATTGAGAAGTTTCCGCGGTCACAAGTCGGAAGTGGTTTGCGTTGCGATGAGTAGGGACGGAAGACGTGTGGTATCTGGATCCTCTGACGAGCGCGTGCGGGTGTGGGACGTGGAGACGGGAGCACAAGTCGGGGAGGCGTTAGTTGGACACACGGGTTGGGTGAGTAGCGTTGCGATGAGTGGGGACGGAAGACGTGTGGTATCTGGATCGTATGACAAGAGCGTGCGGGTGTGGGACGTGGAGACGGGAGCACAAGTCGGGGAGGCGTTAGTTGGACACACGGATTTGGTGCGTAGCGTTGCGATGAGTGGGGACGGAAGACGTGTGGTATCTGGATCGTATGACAAGAGCGTGCGGGTGTGGGACGTGGAGACGGGAGCACAAGTCGGGGAGGCGTTAGTTGGACACACGAGTTCGGTGAGTAGCGTTGCGATGAGTGGGGACGGAAGACGTGTGGTATCTGGATCGTATGACCAGAGCGTGCGGGTGTGGGACGTGGAGACGGGAGCACAAGTCGGGGAGGCGTTAGTTGGACACACGAGTTCGGTGAGTAGCGTTGCGATGAGTGGGGACGGAAGACGTGTGGTATCTGGATCGTATGACAAGAGCGTGCGGGTGTGGGACGTGGAGACGGGAGCACAAGTCGGGGAGGCGTTAGTTGGACACACGGGTTGGGTGAGTAGCGTTGCGATGAGTGGGGACGGAAGACGTGTGGTATCTGGATCGTATGACCAGAGCGTGCGGGTGTGGGACGTGGAGACGGGAGCACAAGTCGGGGAGGCGTTAGTTGGACACACGGATTTGGTGCGTAGCGTTGCGATGAGTGGGGACGGAAGACGTGTGGTATCTGGATCGTATGACAAGAGCGTGCGGGTGTGGGATGTGGAGACGGGAGCACAAGTCGGGGAGGCGTTAGTTGGACACACGGATTGGGTGGAGAGCGTTGCGATGAGTGGGGACGGAAGACGTGTGGTATCTGGATCGCGGGACAAGAGCGTGCGGGTGTGGGACGTGGAGAGAGGGATCACACTTCATACCGGGGGGGTAGAGGATTGGGAAGAAATCACGAGTCGGTTCCTGAAGACGGCAGACTTCGGTACTGCTTCTCGAGCAGGGCGAACACCACAACTATTTTCATGGGACAAAGGAATTGTGCAGAGGCGCGAGGATGGGTCTGAGGCCGTCTTGGCCCATTTGGACGATCCAATAGACTTGCAGATAGACCACGATCACGGGGTCGCAGTTGCAGGGTCGGGCAATCTGGTTGCTATCATGAAGCTAGTGGTGTAAGTATGTATCGAAGTGCGATGGCCGCTTGCCGCCCGAGACATTAGTAATGCGCTTGCAACTGAGCACGGTAGGACCGGGAGAGTTGTTTTGTTTTGTTATGAATGAGAAGCTCTGCTTGACGGGGGTTGCAATCCGTATATGTGTTTGTATGAACTACCGACCTGCTTCCCTTTCATCATTCATTCAGTGAGCAACTGTAGGGGGATGCGAGCGTACCTGACGTGTTCCATCGCGAAGGCTTGTCCTCCAAGCAGACAGAGGGCTAAGGAACGATCACAGCGGCGTCAAGCATTGGGATAGACTCAACACAGGCGGCACCTCGCAGCCTGCCAGCACGCAGAAGATATTGTGATGCAATGAGCCACGTGGATTTAGGTGCCCACGGATTCAACATGGAGGTCAACTCACAAAATGAAAGGATATCTGCTGTCCCCCAGCAGTCAGCTGCGCTCTTTTGCTCACTGTGTTACCTTGTGCAATAATGTGTAGGTACCTGGCCAGCAGATGCGTCAGTTGCATGCGAGTAAAGATGTAGAGGTATTGTTATTCATGCATAACGGTGCGTTGAGAAGCGTTGCAGACCGGCTCAAGGCGGGGGGCCAATCTTAAGAGGTGATAAGTACACGTGCACAGGGTCACAGGTGCAACAGGTCCACACGTGTGAGAAGAAAAACGGCAAACGAGGCCCACTTTTTTTCAATTTTACCATAAATTTCAAAATGTTCCATACATTTCAATTTTTACCATAAATTTCAATTTTACCAGGGAGGCGGAGGAAGGCACGGGGCGTCGGGGTGAGGGCGGGCGCAACGGCCGCGGCGGCGCTTATTCGGACGCGGGCGCTTTGAAAGGGGTGCGCGCATTGTGTGAACAGGAGACCGATGACTCCTCGTTTACTCGTCGTCGCTCGCTGTTCCCTGCGGGACAGACTGTCCTGTGCGGTCTGACACGCATCGCTGCGCACGGGCGGGAAGCAGAGCGGCGTGGTGCTTGCGCTGCGAGTTGCGCGTGGGTTGAACGGGAAGCGTTAGCGGGCGGAGACGCCGGCATGCTATGTGCGGTTTAGAAGACGCACGGCCGCGCGATTCGCACTACGCCGCCGGCACGGGCCATCTGTCCGCGCCTCGGCAACGGCGAGAGCCGCATGCGGATGCGGGGGCAGCTGCGCACGCTGGCGTGTGAGGCTTGTCTTTATTTTTCGCTCAATCAAGGGGGCGGCATAAGTGGCATATATTTTTTAACTATTTTTTTGGGCCGCGAGCGGACACGGGTGCAGCTGTGCACCGTGGCATGCGTGGCAACGTGTGGCGGGCAGAGCAGAGTTTAAAGACTGTGAAAAAGTTGCAGATCGCACCGCAGCAATAAGCGTTCGTGTAGTATAATGGTTAATTTAGCCGCTGTATATTTCGCTGTCACCGAAGAGATCCGGGTTCAATTCCCGGCACGAGCTTGCTGAGCATCTTATTTTTTGCCGATTTGGAGGCCCCGCGTAGAGGCCGGCGCGCCACGACAGGCAGAGGCGCGGGCGACAGATGGGACGGCAGGAAGAGGGGCGGGGCGGTTGCCGAGGGGCGGTACGCAGGTGCTAGGGTGAAGTGCTGCACGCGGAACGGAGGCCGCCGGACGGAGGCGTCGGGCGGGGCGGGGGGGAACGGAGAGAACGAGGGCGGGGACGAGGGTGGGGACGAGCGGGGCGAACGAGGACGGAGGAGCAGGTGGTGAACACGTGTGAAATTGAGTTGTTGGCCCTCGCTGGGCACAGGGGCGCAGCAGTGCCTCTGTGTCACTGTCAGGAGTGCTGACAGTGAAATGCGCAGGCGTCAAGCGTGTGCGCATGGCCCTCCAGACTCAGTTGCGCACACACGTGACACACGCATGACAGCGCCAACGGTTCTCCTCATAAGGGAGTGTCCGCACGAGGCAGACTTGTGCCAAGACCGGAGGGGTAAAATCGAATAGAAGGCCTTTTGCTTTCGACGATATCCCCACACATATCGATTTTTTTCTTTCTTTCTTATATATTCTTAATTAAAATGTCTGCAAAAGACGTCTACATCTCACCAAACCTCCACCCTTCTGCCGCGCACAACTCAGCTGCAACTACCCTCCGAAGGGTACTGTACCTTGGTCTACCAAGAGTAGTGAAAAATAATCCCGACTCAACAGCGGCCCCCAGAGTATCTTGTTTCTTATTGTTCAGCGGGCACAAGGCGAGAAATTTCAACTTGAAAAGTGGCCTCATATGACGTCACTTTTCGTCAAACTCGAGACACTACTGTAGAGCTGCTGCACACTCCCTGTTGTCTGGTAAACGGGAGTGGTTGGTTGGTTTTTCTTTGTCTGGGCAAGCGTGGGGTGTCTCGCTGTCTCGCTTCCGTCCTTCCTATCTCTCATGCAAGCCACTGATGCATTTCAGTTTCAGTTTCAGTTTCAGTTCACCATGCGTCAGCGCGCCGACCGCTGACCAAAACCTGACACGCATCGCGAGGCTCACGTCTGCCGCGAGCCTGAGCACGTCTGCACCGACCCGGACCCCTTTAGCACGCAATAAGGGGAAAATCCTTAATTAAAAAGGGATTTGAGGGCTTGTCTCAAAAGGGGAAAATCCTTAATTAAAAAGGGCTAATAGCCCTTTATAACTAAGGGAAAATCACTATCTCTGCCTCTTCCTGGAACGCGTCAGCGTGGAACGGCCCGCCCCGAGCACTAGTATTGTTATTGCATCTGGTCGCATTGTGCGCATTCATGCACCGTTTCCATGCGGATTCAGCCCTGATTCAAGTCCTCCGTCACCCGATCAAGATTGATTCAATCTTGCTATCAATTGATATCATCCCTACCGCCCTCACAGTCTTCCAAAGGACGCATCCGCCCATCCTTCCTCACCAACTCCAGCAGCGTCTTGGATCGACCTGGGCTCTTCACCCACGCAATCCTGTGCTCGTCGTTCCGCCTTCCCCTGCCCCGAGAGCGGTATGCCGCAGCCACACGCCCGACCGCACAGCAATGAGGCAGGGAACCCTCCGACTGTGCTTCTTCTCCGTCGCGTGCTCGCACCCTGCGTCCCACCAGCACTAGCCCTTCCTTTGCAGCCTCGGTTGCACTTATCGAGTCGTCCTGCAAAGAATATGACGTGTCCAAGTGACATGTCTTGTCACCGCTCCGGACTACTGATGTTCGAGGCGGCGCCCCGGGCACCATGCCGCAATTGTATTTGCAACTTGCTGACATCGCCAAAACCCTGCGGCTAGTCTCTAGCGTGACGCGTCGACAGCTCGGTTCCACCTTCACCAGCTTCAACCTGTAAAACACATGCACAGACGCCCCTACGAGAAAAGTAACGAGGATTAGACCGACCCCGATTATGAAGAAAATATTGATAGTTGCCACGGTCTTGACGTCCGAGATCAGGCTACCCAGTTCAGTCTGTAGCTCCGTCGATATCCAATTCACCTCAGTCCGAGACCTTTCTTCATCCCCATTTATCCAACTATGATATATCCGCCAGATCTTGTTGTAGTCCGCAGAGGTTAACTGCAACGCTTTGAACATGGCATCCGCCTCACTTTCGCTGCGCCCGTCCTGCATTCTACAAGCAGGAAGCCTCTTGTTGTGGATGTCGCCCATCACACTAAGGCAACATGTCACCTGACGCCCCTCTCGCATCATAAGCACTCCCGCCCTCTGTGTCACGACGAGAGTGGCATTCTCCCCGTTAAAAGTCTCTGTGCGTATACTGCGGTCAAAAGAACTAGACGGGCGGCTGTCCACCTCGTCGAATATGGCCCATGGTATTTCCATTTCGACCCTCTTGCCGTAGTCTATTGTGATACTTTGGCTTTTGAGGGTTGTCAAGGCGGGCGGCAACAGGTTTCCATCGTGCCATACAACCTCACTTGGCCTAGTACTGGCGTCCACACAAACAACTTGCCAGCTTGCTGGATATTCGGTGTTCCCGTCACAGTCGAGCATCAACTGTGGTAACTTGTTCATCCTAACAGTTACAGTGATGTTGTAGTCACTGTAAATTCGCAAATTATTGACAAATAGGAAATTGGGCACTATCTCAGTGACTGCGATTGACGCCTCCCCTGTCCAGCTTGTTTCCAGCAGGACGAATGATGCGAGGCCAGTAGTGATCAGCAACTTGTCGTCTTTCACCAACGCCGCCCCGGATTGGCCTGAGAACCATAACTCTCTGCCACTTCCTGTTAGCAACCATTGATCCGGAATGGCCGAAGTGATGATTTGTCCGTCAGCCTCGACCGCATCTCTGGTGTTCTGAATGACTTGTATGTCCCGCTCAGTGATTCCCCATGCTTCATCAGGTACCAGGTCCACCTCGTAGACTTGGTACGTAGCATTCACAATACGTTGAGAGCGTAATGCCGGGCTCCACGTTCCGTCACTGTTCCTTCTCACATCCAGTGGCTGTGACCTCCCGGCAGCCCCGTACCCAGTGGCGATCATGTTCCCCGACGCGACGTCAGACGAACCCGAGCCGAATTCGATCAATAAATCGGCAGAAACCAGGATAAATGCGACAAAAGCTATAACCAGCCTGAAACGCCAGTCGTTCCCATCCTCCTCAGTCACCAGAGAACTCCTAGTGTACGGCCTCGGTCGTAGTTGGACGGGAGAACCCGAGGATACTCGAGAACCTGCTCTATATGCCACATTTGAAGACCATAATTTCGCTAACATTGTGGTCATGACCAAACTCAAAGAAACGAACCGGACGACGTTCCACAGTGGGACCCCTATGGCCAGTTCAAAAATCATCGCGCGCGTAGTGTGTTTGCAAGAGTAGTGTTGCGTACTCGTGCTTTCTCCTCAGTTCCGCCGCGGCAAGTCGTACAGGGACAGTCTATCCCCCTCTGCCTTCTCCATCTTGGAGAAGCGCTGGCAGAGTCGTTTATTTAGGTAGCGCTGCCACTCTCCCGGCCCCCTCAGTCTCAGCTGCGGTAGGGGACACCTGCCCCCTGTGAGCCTATCCCCGAGCACATATTCGCCGCGTCCGGCGCAGGAGCTCTCCCAGCCATGGGCTTGTACAGTACGTATTATTTGGATGGCTAAAAATTCTGAGCGGTGATTGGCTTTACGCCGGAGGCTATCGGCGGCTGTGCGCCATATATACGGGTGCGTACTGTACAAGCCCGTGAGGCAGCGAGTTGATCACTTGATGGCCATGGTTGGACCTTTTGCCCATGGGGGGACGTGGTCGAGACGGAAAACGACAGAATTTGGTGGTCTCGGGACCATTTGAAGAGCCGCTTTCCAGCAGTGAAGATAAGAAGGTACAGTAGTTCCTCGGTATAAGAATATGTTCGGTGGGCGGGTTTTCCATTCTTATATAGAGGATAGATATTCTTTAATGAGGATTTGGTCCTACTAACACAGGAGAGTTAAGCTATTACTGTAACTTAAAAAAGTCGTCTATCCTACTCTGGCGCCCGGCCGCGGCCTCCTCAGCCTGCAAATCGCGCCTCAGGCGACGTAAGTACCCGTTTCCTTTGGGGATTCGGCCATCCCCAAAGGAAACGGGTGGATTTCCTGCCGTTACTGGTTTCTGAATATTGTACTGGCCCTTATTTTTGTTGTAAAAGTAGCTGGTTCTGTACCAGATTTTTGAAAAATCTTTCTCGTTGTATTCTTGTATAGAGTATGAATAAATGTTCGAAATTGGGGTCAATTTTGCAGGAACGAAAACAGTGGATGCGTTTTGCATTCTTATACCGAGGATATCCTTATATGAGGCATTCTTATAAGGAGGAACTACTGTATTACTGTACCGTTCCCTTTTTGTTTGTGGATGGCACTGTGAGAATCCCACATAGCACTCACGAAAAGAAGGGTATGCAGTGGTAGTAGTGTGCGGCACATACCGTACATTGGAACACCCTCACAGTATTACCATCTGCTACCATTCGTTTTTAGACGACACGTTTTCAGTGTTTGAGACCACTGAGGGGATCCTCATCTACGACTGTCGTTGTTGACATAGGCTTCTTCTGCTCTCACAAAAAGTCGGTCAGGGCAGAATTGCCGTCTGTTGGCTAGCTGTGGAGTTAGCGCACCTCATTAGCTTGTTTGCATCTACAATGTATCATGAATGATGCCGCCATCCGCCATCCCCTAACGAGGGCCGTTTGTCCTTGATTGCTACGCACTTGCTTTAAATACCTGGTATCTATCCTCTGATATCTGCCATCAGTCATCTTCAAATTCCTCTGTCAGTTTTAGCTACGGTGACGGCCGCGCGTCAGCATGCTTGTTCTGCGACGCTGCTCGAACCAGCGTAACGGGCTGGTGAGGGGGAAGTTGTTTGGGAGGGGGGCGGGCCACGTTCGTGGCAAAGCCGAGTACGAAGGCGCGAGAAACACGTGCGGGCAGCAATGCGCGAGCGGGCGGGGCGGGAGACCGGGTGCGGGTAAAGCATTAGGCATTAGGCGCTGCTAGGACCAGGACCAGGCGCGGCGCGACGCAACAGGCACAAAATGCGGTCATGTGGCGAGGTCATGCGGCGAGGCAGTGGCCGGCACGCGCAAGTTGGGCCAATAATGACAGGCGATATCTCCCAGGGCACGCCAAAGTCCACGTGACGAGGAGGTGTGAGCGATGGAGGCTCGGGAGCAGCGATGGAGGCTCGGGAGCAGCACCTTTGGATCGGTGCCATTCTATCGCGGGGCAGCAATGGGACGCCGCAAAGGGATGATGAGTGAGGGGGTTGCCAAGAATCAAAGGTGTTGAGATCGTTCATATGATAGGAGCATTGTTGCCGCAGGGCAGCAGTGTCTGGGGCGTGATGCATGCTTGCCTTCACGGTGCAATTTACAGTAACGTGAAGGATCAGTAACCAGGTTACATCCAGCAGCGTGGTTCGTCATCATCGTTGTCGGTAGGCTTGTCAACGCGATGGATGGATGTTAGCGGGCGAAGGTTGTTGGTGGTTGTCGGTGTTGGCTGACAGAGTGGAGGGGCAGAAGGCGAGTTGTTTTCAGAGGCGCTTCGGCAACAATAATGAGAGTCGGCGAGCACAGGCACGCGAGTACGTAGTGTCATTAACGGAAGCCTATGCGTTCGTACTCTCAGGGCCATTCCATTCATCGTGAGGGCCATTCCATTCATCGTGAGGGCCATTCCATTCATCGTGATTGGCAATCATGCAATCACGCAATCACGTCAATAAATGGTGCCTGCTCCCTTGTGGTTGGTTGTTTATATTACGTTTCCTAAAGAATAGTCATGCTCATTAAAGAAATAAACAATCGACTTAAAATTAATCTTGTGCTCCAACTTGCAGAACGACGTTAAATTATTGTCGTGATTGCCAATCACGATGAATGGAATGGCCCTCACGATGAATGGAATGGCCCTCACGATGAATGGAATGGCCCTGAGAGTACGAACGCATAGGCTTCCGTTAATGACACTACGTACTCGCGTGCCTGTGCTCGCCGACTCTCATTATTGTTGCCGAAGCGCCTCTGAAAACAACTCGCCTTCTGCCCCTCCACTCTGTCAGCCAACACCGACAACCACCAACAACCTTCGCCCGCTAACATCCATCCATCGCGTTGACAAGCCTACCGACAACGATGATGACGAACCACGCTGCTGGATGTAACCTGGTTACTGATCCTTCACGTTACTGTAAATTGCACCGTGAAGGCAAGCATGCATCACGCCCCAGACACTGCTGCCCTGCGGCAACAATGCTCCTATCATATGAACGATCTCAACACCTTTGATTCTTGGCAACCCCCTCACTCATCATCCCTTTGCGGCGTCCCATTGCTGCCCCGCGATAGAATGGCACCGATCCAAAGGTGCTGCTCCCGAGCCTCCATCGCTGCTCCCGAGCCTCCATCGCTCACACCTCCTCGTCACGTGGACTTTGGCGTGCCCTGGGAGATATCGCCTGTCATTATTGGCCCAACTTGCGCGTGCCGGCCACTGCCTCGCCGCATGACCTCGCCACATGACCGCATTTTGTGCCTGTTGCGTCGCGCCGCGCCTGGTCCTGGTCCTAGCAGCGCCTAATGCCTAATGCTTTACCCGCACCCGGTCTCCCGCCCCGCCCGCTCGCGCATTGCTGCCCGCACGTGTTTCTCGCGCCTTCGTACTCGGCTTTGCCACGAACGTGGCCCGCCCCCCTCCCAAACAACTTCCCCCTCACCAGCCCGTTACGCTGGTTCGAGCAGCGTCGCAGAACAAGCATGCTGACGCGCGGCCGTCACCGTAGCTAAAACTGACAGAGGAATTTGAAGATGACTGATGGCAGATATCAGAGGATAGATACCAGGTATTTAAAGCAAGTGCGTAGCAATCAAGGACAAACGGCCCTCGTTAGGGGATGGCGGATGGCGGCATCATTCATGATACATTGTAGATGCAAACAAGCTAATGAGGTGCGCTAACTCCACAGCTAGCCAACAGACGGCAATTCTGCCCTGACCGACTTTTTGTGAGAGCAGAAGAAGCCTATGTCAACAACGACAGTCGTAGATGAGGATCCCCTCAGTGGTCTCAAACACTGAAAACGTGTCGTCTAAAAACGAATGGTAGCAGATGGTAATACTGTGAGGGTGTTCCAATGTACGGTATGTGCCGCACACTACTACCACTGCATACCCTTCTTTTCGTGAGTGCTATGTGGGATTCTCACAGTGCCATCCACAAACAAAAAGGGAACGGTACAGTAATACAGTAGTTCCTCCTTATAAGAATGCCTCATATAAGGATATCCTCGGTATAAGAATGCAAAACGCATCCACTGTTTTCGTTCCTGCAAAATTGACCCCAATTTCGAACATTTATTCATACTCTATACAAGAATACAACGAGAAAGATTTTTCAAAAATCTGGTACAGAACCAGCTACTTTTACAACAAAAATAAGGGCCAGTACAATATTCAGAAACCAGTAACGGCAGGAAATCCACCCGTTTCCTTTGGGGATGGCCGAATCCCCAAAGGAAACGGGTACTTACGTCGCCTGAGGCGCGATTTGCAGGCTGAGGAGGCCGCGGCCGGGCGCCAGAGTAGGATAGACGACTTTTTTAAGTTACAGTAATAGCTTAACTCTCCTGTGTTAGTAGGACCAAATCCTCATTAAAGAATATCTATCCTCTATATAAGAATGGAAAACCCGCCCACCGAACATATTCTTATACCGAGGAACTACTGTACCTTCTTATCTTCACTGCTGGAAAGCGGCTCTTCAAATGGTCCCGAGACCACCAAATTCTGTCGTTTTCCGTCTCGACCACGTCCCCCCATGGGCAAAAGGTCCAACCATGGCCATCAAGTGATCAACTCGCTGCCTCACGGGCTTGTACAGTACGCACCCGTATATATGGCGCACAGCCGCCGATAGCCTCCGGCGTAAAGCCAATCACCGCTCAGAATTTTTAGCCATCCAAATAATACGTACTGTACAAGCCCATGGCTGGGAGAGCTCCTGCGCCGGACGCGGCGAATATGTGCTCGGGGATAGGCTCACAGGGGGCAGGTGTCCCCTACCGCAGCTGAGACTGAGGGGGCCGGGAGAGTGGCAGCGCTACCTAAATAAACGACTCTGCCAGCGCTTCTCCAAGATGGAGAAGGCAGAGGGGGATAGACTGTCCCTGTACGACTTGCCGCGGCGGAACTGAGGAGAAAGCACGAGTACGCAACACTACTCTTGCAAACACACTACGCGCGCGATGATTTTTGAACTGGCCATAGGGGTCCCACTGTGGAACGTCGTCCGGTTCGTTTCTTTGAGTTTGGTCATGACCACAATGTTAGCGAAATTATGGTCTTCAAATGTGGCATATAGAGCAGGTTCTCGAGTATCCTCGGGTTCTCCCGTCCAACTACGACCGAGGCCGTACACTAGGAGTTCTCTGGTGACTGAGGAGGATGGGAACGACTGGCGTTTCAGGCTGGTTATAGCTTTTGTCGCATTTATCCTGCTTTCTGCCGATTTATTGATCGAATTCGGCTCGGGTTCGTCTGACGTCGCGTCGGGGAACATGATCGCCACTGGGTACGGGGCTGCCGGGAGGTCACAGCCACTGGATGTGAGAAGGAACAGTGACGGAACGTGGAGCCCGGCATTACGCTCTCAACGTATTGTGAATGCTACGTACCAAGTCTACGAGGTGGACCTGGTACCTGATGAAGCATGGGGAATCACTGAGCGGGACATACAAGTCATTCAGAACACCAGAGAGGCGGTCGAGGCTGACGGACAAATCATCACTTCGGCCATTCCGGAGCAATGGATGCTAACAGGAAATGGCAGAGAGTTATGGTTCACAGGCTTTGCCGGGACGGCGTTGGTGAAAGACGACAAGTTGCTGTTCACTAATGGCTTCGAATCATTCGTCCTGCTGGAAACAAGCTGGACAGGGGAGGCGTCAATCGCAGTCACTGAGATAGTGTCCAATCTCCTATTTGTCACTAAGATACAATTTTACAGTGACCTCAACATCACTGTAACTGTTAGGATGGACAAGTTACCACAGTTGATGCTCGACTGTGACGGGAACACCGAATATCCAGCAAGCTGGCAAGTTGTTTGTGTGGACGTCAGTATTAGGCCAAGTGAGGTTGTAAGGCACGATGGAAACCTGTTGCCGCCCGCCTTGACAACCCTCAAAAGCCAAAGTATCACAATAGACTACGGCAAGAGGGTCGAAATGGAAATACCATGGGCCATATTCGACGAGGTGGACAGCCGCCCGTCTAGTTCTTTTGACCGCAGTATACGCACAGAGACTTTTAACGGGGAGAATGCCACTCTCGTCGTGACACAGAGGGCGGGAGTGCTTATGATGCGAGAGGGGCGTCAGGTGACATGTTGCCTTAGTGTGATAGCCACATCGACAACAGGGGGCTTCCTGCTTGTAGAATGCAGGACGGGCGCAGCGAAAGTGAGGCGGATGCCATGTTCAAAGCGTTGCAGTTAGCCTCTGCGGACTACCACAAGATCTGGCGGATATATCATAGTTGGATAAAGGGGGATGAAGAAAGGTCTCAGACTGAGGTGAATTGGATATCGACGGAGCTACAGACCGAACTGGGTAGCCTGATCTCGGACGTCAAGACCGTGGCGACTATCAATATTTTCTTCATAATCGGGGTCGGTATAATCCTCGTTACTTTTCTCGTAGGGGCGTCTGTGCATGTGTTTTACAGGTTGAAGCTGGTGAAGGTGGAACCGAGCTGTAGACGCATCACGCTAGAGACTAGCCGCAGGGTTTTGGCGATGTCAGCAAGTTGCAAATACAATTGCGGCATGGTGCCCGGGGCGCCGCCTCGAACATCAGTAGTCCGGAGCGGTGACAAGACATGTCACTTGGACACGTCATATTCTTTGCAGGACGACTCGATAAGTGCAACCGAGGCTGCAAAGGAAGGGCTAGTGCTGATGGGACGCAGGGTGCGAGCACGCGACGGAGAAGAAGCACAGTCGGAGGGTTCGCTGCCTCATTGCTGTGCGGTCGGGCGTGTGGCTGCGGCATACCGCTCTCGGGGCAGGGGAAGGCGGAACGACGAGCACAGGATTGCGTGGGTGAAGAGCCCAGGTCGATCCAAGACGCTGCTGGAGTTGGTGACGAAGGATGGGCGGATGCGTCCTTTGGAAAGACTGTGAGGGCGGTAGGGATGATATCAATTGATAGCAAGATTGAATCAATCTTGATCGGGTGACGGAGGACTTGATGTAAGAATTATGAAGTATAAGGCGTTTCCAGTGTAATCTAGAATTATCGGGAACTGTTGAGGACGTGTAAGCAACGGCACTGTACTGCGCTGTACCTTCCTGTCAGCCCGCACGCGGGTTGCAACCTTAATTCGCCAACGCATCCAGCGCACAGTATCCTTGCTGTAATGGTTACATTTAGTGTAACTACTGCCTAACACGTAGTTATATGGGTAGTTGTGCATTTTGCTGAGCTGTATAGGTTTTCACCGGAGCTACTAAGCCACGGTTTCCTGTACCAGCTTAGATTTTAGAACTCTATAAAAGTCTGAGTTCGTGTGGGCTTAGAGGACTAGCCTCGCCCATTACCAACCGAACATCAACGATTATCAACGAGAAGTATTTCCTCAGAACGAACTAGCCGATCTAGTGTTCACCTCGGACAGGCTGTCCCCCACGCCCATCGGGGGGTACCTTCGGACATCGGCAAGTAGGTGTCCAATCTGAGTTTCATTTTAAAGGGGTGCTCCAGACGAGCACTTACCAAGCTATCTAATCAGCTTTACAGTGTAACAGCTGTGAGGCGGGGTTTTTGCCACACTTGAATCAGGGCTGAATCCGCATGGAAACGGTGCATGAGTGCGCACAATGCGACCAGATGCAATAACAATACTAGTACTCGGGGTGTGACGTTTCATGCTGACGCGTTCCAGGAAGAGGCAGAGATAGTGATTTTCCCTTAGTTAAAAAGGGCTATTAGCCCTTCTTAATTAAGGATTTTCCCCTTTTGAGACAAGCCCTCAAATCACTTTTTAATTAAGAATTTTGAGTTAATGCTGCGTTTAGTGGGGCGATCGTGGTCTTTTTGTGGCAAAAGGGGGTGAAATGGCTTTCTTATAGTGTTGAGGGGGTGACGCGGTCAAATTTGCTGAAGCACCCATCCGATTGAGAAATATTTGTAGGGATCGTATGGGTGTCGTCTTCCACATGGGGGTGACAGAAAAGAATTTGGTTGTTCGTGAGGGGCGACAGAATCTGAACAAAGTGGACGGTGCTAAAAATTGTACTAAATGACAGGCGAAATCGGATACTAAGGCGTTACTAAAAGAGTGGCTACACTGCGGTATCCCCGTACAGCTGTTTCAGAGAGCAATCCTTCACTGTGTGATCTGCCATCCGACACAAAGAACAGGAGTACACACGCTTCTTCTTCGCAGCAGGGCCTTTTTCGTACCAGGTTTTTCTTCGCCTACCAGCCCTCCGAACCGGACGACCCCGTGGCGGCGGCAAAGCTTTTGGAATTTGCAGGTTCTCCTTCGTAGCAACGAGCTTCTTCGCATTGAATAAAATGTCGTCGACCCTTGCTTGTGAAGGAAGGCTATATTCCATATTGGCGTACTGCATAACCCAGGCAGATGTTAGATGGCGCGCTTCAATAAACCGATAGAGATTGCTTGGTCCATACTTTTCGAGAAGAACAGAGACGCCATGCCAACAGGGGAATCCAGACCCATTTGTAGAGTAAGCGCAGCAAGAAGGGGGGGTTTGGGTATTATTGCTAAGCCTTACAAGCCGCAGAACGGGTCCTTTTTGCTGACTAGCGACGGTGGCTTCCATTTGCGACGTACCATCCAGAAAACGCACAGAAGACCGATATACATGAGCTCTCTGAATTAGGTATGCGAGATGGTTCTGTGTGCGAGGAGGGACAGGAGATGTACAAGACAGGGCACTGTCCTGGCGACGCAAAACATTTGTTCTCTGCAGAAGCACGACCCTTGAAAGCATCTTCTGAGGCTCCACGGAACGAATATTATTCCTAAGATCAGCTGACATCTGGCTTTCAGCCCCCTGTGAAGTTGTTATAAGGTCTTCTAAGCAGGAAAATGCCCTGTACACTTCAGAATCTTCGAATCTATCCAGATAGGCCTTTTGTGTCGCAGAAAAATCTGCTTTCAGAGCGTACACCTGTTCTCGAGACGGAGCATATACTGCTCGTTCATACAACCGTATTCCCACGCCCTTGTTAGATCCTAATCGCGCGGACATGTTTTTTTAACATGGAGAGGATCCAGGAATAACGATGCATTAGTCATGACGTCCCGGTAGGCTGCGTCGATGGACTTCTCCTGATCGACAATTGTCACCCTCCCATTAATGTCAAATCCCGGAATTTCCTTACATGCCCGAAAGACCTTTCTCCAGGACTCTTTGTTCTCAGGGCCCACGAAGTGCGCAAAGACCAAAGGACAGAGCTGATGATTTGCATCGTACCCGATTACCTGAAAAGTAGACCCATACGACTGCATTCCTACCCCTTCGCAGTGTGCGGCATCCGCACTGGCCGTTCGTCGACCATGTTGGCAGTAACTCTGCGCGGAAGAAGGAACAAACAGCAATCCGCTGTAATAGCGACCGTTGCCTATATCAGATACTTCCACATCTGCGGCATTAAAGGAAGCATCCTTCGGTAAATCGTTTGCCTTCTTGCACTGCTAGAATATATGACGAGCCGCCTTAATCCGTTGTTCCCTGATCTCCGCTGCACAGCAAGTAAAAATTTCTACCTTATGCCCCACCCCTCTGAGCGCATCTGCGTAACCTTCCAATGCGGCCATGTCTACGGCGCGCGAAATGGTGAAATGACGGAGCATCTCTGTCCGAATACTCCGATAATGACTATATGGAGGCTGACGCAAATACAGGCGCTTCGCTCGAACAACGGAAGCGATTGTTTTGCAAGGCACATTCGGATCGCTTTGCACGTGTTCTAAAATTGCTCGGGCAAACTGATGTGGGGTATATGCAGGGGCACAAGAAGACGATCTTGACGCAATTTTCATTGGACTGTCCGCGACATGTTGCCCGAAGCACTCATTGAGGTGGTCTTGGTACTTGTTCAGTTTCCAAAAACCGGTCCTCGGTTGCCAATCGAAAACAAAAGTCGCATGGCACCCATCTGTGCGGCACTTCATGCGCACTTTCACAGTATTCTGCATAATGTTAACTCCCCGTTGCACCCCGAGGTTCGCAGTGTGTGCTCTAATCAGCTGCTCACATCTCCACCGGCCCTTCAAGGCGATCCCCACTTTCGGTTTAACGTCCACAATTGGACGGGGCTTCCATGTCATGGCAGGCAATCGATCTGCTCGCAGTGCATCTTTCGCACGATTCATGGTTCGTCGCTTCGATTGGCGCTTCTGTAGCGTTCGACGGGTTTTCTTGTCGATATCATCCGGAATAGGATCGGCAGCGCACTCTTCAACATCCTCTTCCTCTTCCTCACATTCAATTGCCATGTAATTCTTCGGGTCGAAGTCCTCATCCGGCGTAACGTCTTCTTCGGAATCAATTTCCAAGCACTCGGCCACCTCTCTGTCTTCCTCAAAATTCCTTCCTGCCTCACTCCCAAGATCATCTCCTTCATCTTCAAATTGTACTCCGTCGATGCATTCTTCCATTCTCTCCACGTCTGCGAACACCCCTGAATTTTCGCCATCCTTGCTGACATTTTCCTCGTCCATTTTGTCCGCGCTGCTCTCGCGAGAAGGATCGTCTGCTGTGCTGCGAAATCGGCAGAAAAGACGACGGGATGGTGGTGGAGTTATACATTTCTCTACCTCGTCCACATCATCGTTACGTTCACCGTTGGACACACTATCTTCATCCTCTCCATCCTTGTCAGTACCATCATTTTCAAGCACCGCCCGCAAGTGAGAATCCATTTCTCTCTCTGTTCTCTCCCTTTTCTCTCTGTCCCTTTCCTTCTGCAGCTGCGCAGCCCTTGCTCTTTCTTCCCTCTCCCTTTGCAGTTGGGCGGCCCTAGCTGCCTCTTCTCTCTCTTTTTACAATTGCTTCCAGGCTCTCGCCTGCCTCTCCCGTACAGCGTCTTCCTCGCTGTCACTGCAAACGTCTGACGCGCCCTTCGAAGCCTTCTCGTGCTCTTCCTTGTTCGAGCATTCTCTTTGGCGTTGAGTCTCCCTGACATTGTCTTGTTTCTCTTGCGCAGCGCGTTCCATTTTGTCGAGAGCGAGCTCTCTTTCGGAAGAGGTTTTGCTAAACGCGACGAATGCCGGCAGTAACACGACCTTACCACACTGAATATCCTCATCGATTTCTATGTACCGAACTTCGCTCTCCGCCTGCCGCATGGCACGCGTGAGTACTTTCATACACCTGTCCGCACAGCGCGGTTGAACTGCCCGCACTTTGTCGGGGTGGACGAGAACGGCAAGACGCTTGTACTGCTTCTTCATTTCACGCAATGTTGCGTTGCGCGCAGATACGCAAAAAACGTCCATGAGGGGTGTCACACCTTCTTCCACAGTGGCAAGGTGACGGATTCCCTGCGCCATGGTCTGGGGCAATAAGCGCATTTTGAAAAGACGAATTTGAAATGAAAGCAGAGGAGGGGCACAGGGGTGACATGGCCATGGGGATAGGGAACGATGTCTGTCGTGGAGGTGACAGTCGATAAGGGGGCCACACCGGCGTGGCGTTCATTGATCAACAAAAGCCATTTCACCCCGTTTTTGCCACCAAACCACACCCCATCGCCCCACCAAACAAAAATCTCCCCTTATTTTATTGTGCGTTGGTGATTTTCCACAAAAAGGTTCATGCGCATGGAAAATCGTCCCCGATTACCAGCTGCACGAGGAGGCCGATGTGTACGAGTGCGTCGAAGAGCAGACGTACGCTGCCATCGCCGCGCGCAAGCGCAAGGAGGCCCGCGACTTCATCGACGCCGACATTGATCCCGACGTCGACGAGGTCGACCACGCCGCCTATGGCATAGAGCGCGAGTTCGAGCTGGAGGACGAGCTCTCCGTCGTCAAGGCTGGGCTGCGCGAGGGCCGGAAGAGGAAGAGAAATCAGTCCGGCCCAGTCCGCCCGCCGTTGCGGCACGAAGCGTCGCAATAAACAAAAGGAAAAGGACGTGATCTCTCCTCATTCGGCCGCAGCCGAGGATCAACTTCTCCTGTCGTATTCTCTCCCTCTGCTCCGCCTCTCCACCCCCACCCGCCCCCCACCATCCCCCGCCGGCCCGCGACCACTCCTCGCACTCTTCCCCCATGTTATGGCGATCCCCCGCCTTCCTCCCCTCGGCCCCCCTGCCGTCCGCGCCATGCCCCGTCCCTGCGCCCCCCTAACATTAACCGCCTCCGCGCCCTCCGCAGTTCGGCAGTGGTGATAGTGGTGGTGGTGGTGGGTTTGTCCGTTGGGGGATAAGTGTCTTGACAGCAGGTGAACCCCTTTTGAGAGCCCTTCCAACATTCCTTCATGACGCAGTGGGAACGGAAACGGCGGCGATCACAATACAGTTTGACCTTTTCGTAACCCCCATATCCAGCTCGGCATTGGCATGGGCATCTCGTGGACGACCCGCTTGACGACCCACTGCGAATGGAGTCAGGGATTTCAGCAGCGAGTACCGAAGCCCGCACAAGAACAAAGAGGGCGAGGAAGAGAGTCAGCTTGATCATTGCGTGAGGTCGGTTGGAGAGTTGGAGTTATGAGTGAAATTAACGTTTAAATGCTGGATACGAGTTGGTGAGCATCAGGGGAGGAGGGAGGGTGGTCTCAGGGCTTTTTATAATGAAGAGCGAGGCGCCGTCCCAAGGCAAGAATGTGTGACACAAGTCGCCTCGCTTGCATCGGAGCCGCCCCGCGCGCGCCTGTCCGACGACACGCGCGCGCTGCTCCACGCCAAGTACCCGTTCCTCGCGGAGCAGGACTGCCGCATGGACGCGCTCATGTCGCTGCCAGACTACCGCCCGGACGACTACCGCGCCTATTCGTGGGCGTACCGCACGCTGAGCCCGTGGGCCTCGAGCCGCCTCCTGGAGCTGCTGGGCCTCGTCGCCACCTTCGCCGCCGCGCGCGCCGCGCGCCAGGCCGGCAACGAGGACTGGGACAGGGAAGCGGCGCATGATGCGAGCAAAGAGATTGATTTTCGCCCAGGGGCTTGTGGACAAGCAGTTAACGGATGTGAAATCATCATTGTGGACGCAACAGGAAAGGCTGTATGAAAGGCTGTATCGCCCACAACTCGACAAAACTTGACTGCCTGGCAATTACTGCGGCGTGGTGGATATCAGCAGCCGTGTACACCATACTGAACGGGAGAATAAAAGGCTCCACGCTGGGATGTTTTGCGGAGACGGTCATGTTGAGCCAAGCGGCCAACGTGAGTGCACTCGAAACTTGCTCCCGCCGCTTTGTGCAGCGCATTTGTACATTTTACTCCCCCTTCGCTGGACACGGAGTAACGTAACAAACGTGATGCTGTGGCGTATTGTGGAGGTTGAAACAGTCGATAATGGGGCCACATCGGCGTGGCCGATCACGAGATTAATTGTCCCTACAGTATCCGTGTTCTAGAAATGTTGAGTTTAATAGCTCGATTACTTGCCATTTTGGACTACTACACGGGCGAAGAATCCCAATTGTGTTGTTTGGGACGGGTGACCAAAGGCGACATTTCAGTGGTCGGGTCTAACATACTACTGATATTCTTCCCTTCGCCCCCCTTGTGCAACAAATTCGCGCCATTCACCCCCTCAACACTACAAGAAAAGCCATTTCACCCCCTTTTTGCCACAAAAAAGACCACGATCGCCCTACTAAACGCAAAATCTCCCCTGCAATTTTTGCACTGCGCTGAACCCCACCAAGCCCTTCCGCGTTTGTCGCCGCTGTCACGGCGCGTATGTCCCCGTCAGCCGGTAGACAAGGCGTAAACGATATGGATCTGGAATCCATTTCGGGTCTGCACGTATCTAATCAACCTCATCCAATATTGAAAATTTCCCGACCAGCACATACTGTACGTACACAAACACCTCACACGTCATTTTCAACGCCTACGTGGACACGTGCCATATACATTGTTGCTATGGAGCAACGCAATTCTTTGTCTCCTCCAAACCTTTTCCACCGTTTTACTTCCCCTCCTCTGTTCCCTCCCGCCCCCCTCCCTCTCCATCCTCTCGGGCTCCGGTCGACATCATCCATCCCGCGCATACTGTCATGACCACCCTCAAGTCCCGCTCGGCCGCCACGCACCTCCCGAACCAACCGGGGGACAAGCCCGCGTCCACGCGTTCCGTCTCAGACCCAACGCCGCCCACCACCGCCATGGCGCCACCGGAGCCCTCCTCCGCCGACGCCCCGAACTGGTGGCGCGATCGCCACTCGGTCCTCCTGCTCATCTCGCTGTACACGGCCCAGGGGCTGCCCATGGGCCTGGCCTTCGGCTCCATCCCGTTCCTGCTCAAGGAGCGCGGCTCCTCCTACGCCCACCTGGCCGCCTTCTCCTTCGCCTCGCTCCCGTACTCGCTCAAGCTGCTCATCGCCCCCATCGTCGACTCGTGCTACAGCCCCTCCTTCGGCCGCCGCAAGTCCTGGATCGTCCCGGTCCAGCTCGTCGCCGGCCTCACTATGACCCTTCTGGCGGACACCATCCGCCGTGCCGTCGCCGAGGGTAACGTCGCCCTGCTCACTCCCGTCTTCCTCACCCTGCTGGCCATGTGCGCCACCCAGGACATCGCCGTCGATGGCTGGAGCCTCACCATGTTGCAAAAGCAAAACGTCTCGTACGCTAGCACATGCCAGTCGCTCGGCCTCACCATTGGCTACTTTTCTACCTTCACTCTCTTCCTCGCCTTTAGCAACGCCCCCTTTTGCGACAACTACATCCGCCCGCTCATCTTTTTCTCCAACCAAACCGGCCCGGTCGCCGACCTCGCCTCCGTCCTCAGGACCGCAGGCCTTTATTATTTGCTTCTAACTCTATACATCGCCCTTTTTAAGAAGGAGCTCCCGCCGACCCACTCGGCCAAGAAGACTGATGCCGAGCTCGAAGATCCCCATTTTGACCAGGAGCATTTTGACCATCCCCGGAAGACACGCTCTGCTGTGCTAGACTCCATCACTTCCACTTACTCTGATCTGCTCATCGTCGTCCGCAAGCCGGCTGTCCGTTCACTCGTTTCGATGCTCTTGATTTCCAAGCTTGGCTTCTCGGCCTATGATAATGGTACGTTTTCGTGTTGCACTTTTGTCTTTCGCTATATCACCACGTCCTGCTTGCAACGAGGAGTAGTCATCTAACCTGCCTCCACGCTTTGCACTGTCGTTTCTCTCCCTACTTTTATCCGCTATTACGCTTGTTTCAACTTCGCCTTTGTAGTTGCTCCCCTCAAACTACTAGAGCATGGATTTTCTAAAGAGAGCATGGCTTCCATGGCTGTCCTGGCATCCCCGTTCACGTTGATCGGAACCCTCGTGACGGGGAATTTTGTCGCTAAGCGCTCGCCGCTAGAAGTCTATCTTTACGGCTATGCGCTCCGCTTTATTCTGAGCCTTACTGGGCCTGCTTGTGTTTCGTTTTTGAAAGCTCAAGAAGGCGTGGTTTCCACTACTTTTTATTTTCTCATTCTCTTCATAACTATAATGTATAGTTTTGCATCAGAGTGCCTCATGTTTGTTGGCGTTGGGGCCTTCTTCCTCAATGTCTCAAGCTCATCCATCCATGTGGCAGGATCCTACCTCACGCTTTTGAACACCTCCAGCAATATGGGGGGCACATGGCATAAGGCTCTGACTCTGTGGCTCGTGGACCGGTTGACCTGGAGAGAAGATTGCATTATTCCGCCAGATGCAGCAGCAGGGACTCTGTGTCCAGTCAAGTATGACGGATACTACGTCATATCGACGGCGCTAGTGCCAGTCGCCGCGGTGATAGGATTATATTTTGCAAAGACACTCCCATGGTTGGCAAAGTTACCCGACTCTTCATGGAAGGCGTCAAAGCGATAGTCTGTAATGACTTCCGGTAATGAGTGTTGATGAGGCACATTTATATATTTTTGAATATGCTCCCAGTTAGGTATCAGCTTATTGCTCACGGCTTTTGACCGGAGGTTTGTTCTGTACAATATTCCATGCAAGACGTCCTCATGATGCTGCCTTCGCTGAAACAGACGCAGCAAGAACAGCATCTATTTCAGACTTGATAAGATCAGCGTGTGTGGTTTTCAGTTTTGAGACAAGTCCAAAGCGTAAAACACTTCTAGCCCGGTCAGACTCTAAGACCACCACTTCGAGGACATCCCCACGGGACAACAATGTCCTGACATCGGGGTAGCGGAGCTTTGCGAGCGATATTTGCTCTGATTTGGGGTCGGCACCATCTTCTTTGACCCCCGCTGACGCTAAGCCACTGGCGGGGTTGACTTGCATCTTGGATACGTGCAAAATGCCACAGGCGCTTCCTGAAGTTGTTCTTACGACGGCATAGGACGGCTTGATTTCATCCACGGTGGCCGTCATTTTTGTTCCAATATCTAAATTGCCGAGTGCATCTCTAATTAAAGATTGCGCAGCGTCGCAAGCACTTTTGTTCGGTGCCTCGATTCTAAAGACCTGTTTTTTCCCGTCAAGGAATAGGCGAGCTCCCGACTTGTCCTCGATGCGCTTCAATCCAAGCGCTCGGTCCTTCATAAGTGTTTTCACTGCTACTGACATATCGACCGGCACCTCAAAGGCTCGTGGGGCATTTTCTGGAAAGCTTCGAGGCTCAACCGGGCACACTGCGCCCATTTCATCAAGAATCTTTGAAAGAGCCAATGACGCATTGCGCAGGGCATTTTGGACTACATCCACAGGTAATCCATCATGAGGCTTCACATCCAACTGGCAAGCAGTAACCCCAGATCTTGTCCCGGTCACCTTCATGTCCATGTCTCCGAAATGATCCTCGGATCCAAGAATATCTGTCAAAACTGTGTAATCGGACGCATCGCCAACTGCAAAGTTTGGACCGCGGACGACGCCCATAGCCACCCCAGCCACTGCGTCCTCCAGGGGTGCCCCAGAATCCATCAATGCCATCGATCCAGCACAAACCGTAGCCATTGAACTGGAGCCGTCAGAGGCGAGGACCTCAGCGGACAGGCGATGAGAATAAGGATACGAGTTTTCTTCATCCTCTTCTCGACTCTTATTGTTAGTACTCGATAGCAATTGCTCGTTCGCTTTTGTATCGCATGAGAAATTAAGGAGCGGCCGAAGCGCCTGTTCTGCCAGCATGCTATGTCCCACCTCTCTTCGACTGGAAGACCCGGCAAATCTCCCATACTCGCCTGTCGAGTATGGCGGGAACGAGTAATGCACGAAAAAGCTCTTCCACTCTCCACCGCCCACGACGTATTCTTCCGTTCGCATAGCTTGTGATTTTAGACCAACAGTTGAGCATGCCAATACTTGGGTGTCTCCCCTTTCAAACAGCGCGCTCCCATGTACATCCCCTGGGAGCACCCTGGTCTCACAGCGGATTGTGCGCAGTTCATCGAAACGACGCCCATCCATCCTCAATTTATCCCGCAGCAAAACCTCTCTATATGTCTCCCTGGACGCACGCCGTGCCTCCTCAAGAACCGGCTCTAGCGTCAGATCTGGGAAGTGATCGACAATAGACTGTTGGGCCTCAGTCAAAACAGCCGCGCGGTGCGCTTTACCAGGAAATTGGCGACACTCGAGAAATGCGTCACGGTAGACCCGCGACGCCACCTCATACACTTTGTCGGCATCAGCCTTTGCCAACGGCTCATAGAAGTTCTCAGTCCGCCTCGCTGGGCGCGGCATCTGCCTCGGAAATGCGCTGTGCCCTTCTCGCTCGCGCATGTGGCGGACTTTTTCCCGAAACTCTGTCTGCAATTCAGCCAAAGTTTGGGCAGTAGACACAGCCGCTTGAACAGTCTCCATGACTGCCTCCTGCGGAACGGCGCCGCGAAGCGATTGCACGGTCATGGAGAGCAAGTTGCCAGTGGCATTTGCCGCAACAAAGACAGAGAGCGTGGCACGATGGAGCATGCTCTCCGGAGGGAACGGAACCGGGACGCCATCCACGAGGGCAACTCGAGCGGCAGCAACAGGGCCGGCCCACTCGACCGCGGATGCCGCCACAGCGGCCGCTGCGGCGTTGACGGCGAGGGCGTCGACCGGTGCCTGCGGTGCCTTGACCGAGGACAGCACGGACACGGTGAGCTGCGTGGGCGGCAGGGCGGCGCCCGGTGGGGCGAGGGCCGGGCGCAGGGCGCGGTCGATGAGACGGGCGACGAGGGTTTCCTGGATAGCGGGCTGGAGCTCACGGCGCGCCCAGGTGCCAGGGATGACGCCGACAGCGGCGGCTTTGACGCGGAAGTCGACCAAGAGAGGGGTGAAGGAAGGTGGGGAGGAGGAAGGGGGGCTGTGGGAGATGGTGGCGAGAATGGTGGTCTCGGACGCGGTGAGCACGGCGGAGGAGGGCGCGAGGCGGGCGAGACGGCCCGACGTGAGCGTGAGCGGGAGGGCGGGGAGCGTGGAGGCACGGCCGCGAAGGCTGGGTAACGTGGCAGAGACGCCTGTGGCGGCTGCGGCGAGTACGCGCCCCCACATGGCAGTGGGCGGGGTGCAGCAGGGGGGAGGGTGATGGGAGGGGGATGGGAGGGGTAGCGCTGCCGAGATGCGTTTGGCGAGGAAGAAGATGTGGCGAAAGAAGGCGGGCGTCGTCGTGCTGCGATCATAAGTGGCGGGATGCAAGGAGCGATCGATCTAAGTTGGTGATGTACAGTATACAGCCAATGAAACGGGGGTATGCTGTGCTTACACTAGATGCACCGTGGGAAACACGGGGCGCATCGAAACATTGCTGGAGTACGAACTCACTTTGCATTTGGTCCCCACCTCTCGACTCTACTCCGGGCAACAACCCCGCCGTGCTTCACAAAAGTGAAGCACCCCCGACTGATTCCCACCTCCACCTATGGGTCTACGTGAACGATTCCGCGCGAGGCGCAAACTGTCCCTGAATCGCGCCCCGCCACCCCCGTCCACCAACACTCAACCGTCCTCCACGCACTCAAATGCGCCGGACGGCAGTTCTTCGCTTTTCGTCCCGCCCTTTGGCGAGCGCTCGGCCACCCCGCTCGATCATGTCCAAGATGACGCGTCGAGCCGCTTTAAGCTTTTTGAACGCTCATCCTACGGTTCGGAAGTCATGCACGAAGCCCCCTCCTCCTCCTCCGGAACCAGTTCCCTCCGCCTCGCCGCCTCGCGAATGGGCCGCTCTATCAAAGATAAGATTCTTCGACGAGACCCCACTGATTCTTCGTGGGAAAACAACGCAGATCAGCCTGACGTCCCCGAAATCTCCGAGGCAGACTGCAGAATTGCAGAGTACGCAGCCGCCACAGTCGCTCCGGAGTCTATTACTAGAAGCCCGGCGCTAGCCTCCGCTGATGTCGACACTCTCACCAAGCATAGCTGCGGCGATTTGGTTCCGATGGGAGCTGAAATACCCGATGGTGTCAAATGTAACGACGGGTGCATTTCGCTTGTCGTCCCGGATGGTTGGGCGGCTATCAGGATGCCGGATTGCTTTTGTTTGTTTACCGATATGGCTGTCGGCTATGTGCGGACAGTGCCGGCTAGCGAGGCCGTAAACGCCCTGGTCGAAACAGACCGCTTGCAGGTTATGTCGGCGGTTACTGTTACTACGTCGCCTGTGTTTGTAGCCCCGGACTTGATTCAGGTCGAGTACTCAGCTTCAAAAGGCATAGGAAGAGGGTCAGTCCGCCTTCTCGATTTCTATTCCCCTTCATTTTCACTGCAGTGCCTTCTCTGACAATATCTCTGTTTCATTTACCCCTGTGCACCGCCTCTTCGTTTATTTGTCCCCTTAACAAGAATCGTCAAGTTTGCAAACGGCTTTGGTGACGGCGCGTGCATCGTCGCCCTGTGCGGTCCAGTGTACGTCTGAAGAAGAAAAAATCAGCAAAAATACCTGGGCACTACGCCTGTCACTTCTTGATTCACCCGCGCTGACTTTGCTTCTTTTTTCCTGTCTGCTTGCCATCACGTCCGCTTTTCACGATACTACAGCGAAATGAAAGACACGATTGACCGGACTCTACAGCATCTTGTACGCACAGTCATTTTTATGTCACTGTATAATTGCAGGATCGCAGATTCTTTCGACACGCCTGCCGGCGATGAAGATATCCTAACGTCCGCCAATGGAAATCCTACGGGTGCAGGCCTTTCGGCGCAGTGTCTTTTGCAGTAGGCCGATATGGACGGACAGGGACTCCTTTGAGGGTACTTATTTCAGCAGCTTTATCCGGCGCAGAAGAAATACCCGGACACTCATTCTCTCGCTCGCCTTCTCTTTCGCTGTCCGCTGATTCAGAGGTGGGACAGGCACCAGTATTCTCGTATGAGCCATTTCGAGTACAGTATGATAAGAGGAGAGTGAAATTCATGGCGGGTTTATCCAATTCAGAACTCAGAACCAAGAATTGATTCAGAATTCGCCTCTGCTCATACACCACACGTACTTGTCATCAAATTCGACAACCGTGTCACTATCTTCTACTGCTGTAGTCAAGGGCCAAAAGAATATATGCTCGGTTTAGAACGCGCAAGTAGTCCGTTCCACTCCTCGTTCTGTAGGTTTCTGCAAAGCTTCGTAACGTCCCGATACGAGATAGATCAGGCATTCGGTTTGCAAGCCGTCTGTCAACAGACGACAAAAATCAAAGGCACACCAGCTCATTTCTATTCAATGTCAAGTCCAGATTGGAGTCCGCTCAGGTCCGCTATAGTCGTCTGTGGACACGCAATTTATCATGGAGGTCCAACGCTCAACCCTGCCCACCTGGCCACCACTGATGAAAATTGGTCTCTGCTTCCGTTCCAGAAAGGAGAAAGTAAATACTTCGTGTCCCATGTCGCATCAGGGGTCACGCTCGCATCTAAGGCCAGAGATAGTTTGCTGATATTCTCCGGCGGTCAGACTCGCTTTCCTCACATTCTGTCCGAAGCACAAGGATACCACGATGTAGCAACTGCCTTTGATTTCTGGGGAATGCACGACGTCCGATCGAGGGTCACAACCGAAGAGTTTTCGCGGGACTCTTTTGACAATGTCTTGTATTCCATTGCTCGTTTCAAGGAATGCGTCGGAAGGTTTCCAGAAAAGCTCACCATAATCAGCTGGGCCTTTAAAAAGGAGCGATTCCAGTTGCACGCTAGATCCATCCATTGGCCTACATCAAAATACCAATTCTTCGGTGTCGGTAACCCGGATAGCCTCTTACCAGCAGAGGCCGCGGAATCACGCACGCTTGAACAATTCAAGGAAGATCCCTACGGTTGTGGTTCTTCTAGCGGGGGCCTTGGCAGGAAGAAGCAAGCCCGAAATCCATACCGGAGACAACACGGCTACTCTACAAGTTGTCCGGAATTAGCATTCATCCTTACATGGAAAGGACCAACCAGACTGGCAGAGAAGGATGTTCCGTGGCTGTAGCCACGATCCCTTCCGTACTCTATATTCCTAGTCTCCTAACCACACCAAAAGATCCGCAAGCGTCGAGAGCAGTCTACCATTCCCGTGCCCTGCTTGTACTCGTTTGTCTTCTTGTGCGGCCCACTCAAGAATGGCGTCATCTGTTAGTAACTCTTCGTCATACATTGCCTTCAAAACATACTTCACCAGCAATCCATTCTCGCCTAGTGCCTTGGCCAGTCCTTCCGTCAAAGCAACATGATGTGTCTCATCGTCCTTGCTGAAGTTTGTGATAATAGGAGCGTATGTTCTGAGTCCAGACGTGACTCCAGCGAACAAGTTGTCCGGTGCACATGACTTCAAAGCCCATCGAGCCACGCCCGCAACTACACCTGCCTGCGTCTCCACAAGAGAAGTTTCATACGAAAGCTTCAGAGAGTTGATCTCCAGAACTGTATGGTCCATTTCCACTACTTCTTCATACGCTCTCTCAATTGTTTCCGATACCTCCTCATTAAACTTTGCAACGCGGAGGTCAATATTCGCAGAACGAGCATCGTTGAAGCTGACATCGGCAAGGTCCTGCGTCACTCCATCGACAACTCTATTATTAGTAGCGCTGGAATCGTGAAGATCACCATGGTCTCCGACCGCGACGTTTTGTTCAGAATCATTGGATTCGTCGTCTTCTCCTTCGTTGTCGTCTTCCTCTTCTAGCTCATCTTCTTCCTCACTCTCAAAGTTCATCGTACGGACATTCGGGACAAAATACGGATCTAAATCCATGCTCACATCTAAATCGATGAGAAGCCCCTTTCCTCCACTACCGACGTGTTCAGTCTTCCAATTCGTAACTTCTTCACCCTCCGCCGTGCCATTTGGCTTGCCAATCGAATCCGCGACACCATCGTTGCCTTCTTCAACTTCGTCTTCTTGATCTTCAGCTTCATCACCGCTACTGAACTCCTGTTGATCCTTTAAAGTTATGAGGGAATGAGAACACATGTCGTGAAAGTTGGGCCCTATACATACCCCTGTATCCAACAAACAGTTTTTCGGAATGAAGGTGCTTTCCTCTACTGCGCATGAAGCGTTCAGTATGCTTCCATGGATATCACAGCGATCCCCTATTGTAACGTTATCCATCAAAATGCTACGACTCACAGTCACATCAGTCCCAATTGTAACGTTGTTCCCAATAACGCTTTGGAGTATTGTGCTTCCATATGATATAGCAGCATCGTTCCCAATGACAGACTTTTCGACCTCAAAGTGACCCTGGTATTCGTGCAATTTATCTTCTCTTGACTTACCTTGCACATTAAATGTACTAATCGGGGCCAGCCATCCATTCAAAGCGTCCGTAGTAGCTTGCATGAATGAAGCCAGAGAGTGAATCCGAGTAGCATATTCACCACAACTTGAATTCAAAAAGTATGTGTACATACGGTTTCCGAATACTTCCGCCTCACCGCCCTCGAGTTTCTCTTTGATATAGGCCCTGACTTTCTCATAGTAAAAATTTTCTCTGAATTCGAGAAGAAAGTCTGGAGAGCAAACGTCAAGTCCAACATCCATTACATCGGAACAGATCTCCACTGCCCCGCCTCTTTGCAAACCAGAATTTTCTGCGTAGACATCTAGAAGAATACCATTTCGGTCCATACCCTCGACATATTTCAGCAAAGTGCCGGTTGTAGTATCGAGGGCTATTACTAAACCGGACGAAGCTGAGAAGGCCCCTTTTCGAAAAGCCGTAGTGATGAGCCAGTTGCGATCCAAATCCTTCCTACGCTTGTGCTCGGCGGCCAGCTTCGCAACATCCACGTTGAAAACGGTGCCTTGTTGAACAAGCACAAAATCATCAACTGGTCGCATTCCGTCGCGACTTTCTACTTCGCGAATGGCATCGCCCTCTCCATTCCAGGCTGGAGATGAAACCGGAGTAACCTTCATGCGACCAAGGGGGTCCTCGAAAAGAGATTTGATTGGTGTCGATGAGAGAACGATAGCTTCTTTGACGCCATAGCGCGCTAAAGTTGAAAGTTGCCAGGATAAAATAGGAATGTTAAGCAACTTGTCTGTAGGCGCGAGGGACTGGTCGTGGATTGTACCGCAGCCGTCTGCGAAGACTATAGCCTTGAGCGGCTCCTCGCCTTCCTTCCGGAATGACATCTGAGACGCCTGTTCACTGATCAAAGAAGAATAAGACCGACAAAGTGCAAAGGTTGCATGCCGCTGGCGGCGGGCGACTGTGATGGCAGAAAGCGCTAGTCGGATCCGAAGAGTCTGGCGACGGTAAATAAATGAGGCATTGTCTCTGTAGTTGGGTACAGGGCTTTGCCTTGGATTGAAAAAAAAACTAAATTTAACGTTATTCGTACGTCTACTATTCACTCTCAAGAATGTGTCTATTCCACAGAAGAGCAGTATCCGTAGAGTGGCTTCTATTCTCCGGTAATAGGTGCACAAAACAGCGACGGTAGCAGCAGATTCGTGCCCTCAGCAACGATCACATGCCCTTCGACAGATGCCGTAGGCTGGTAATCCAACAGTCCTCTCGTGAAGTGTTCGCGAACCTCTGCATTCCAAAAAGCATGGTCGGATGTTCCATCACCTTCTTTCATGCTGCAGTACTTCTACTTCATGCAGTGCGCGAAAACCCCTGTGAAGTAGCCCCCATACAGTACATATTTGCGCAAAAAAAAGTGCCGTTCACTCAAGTAAAGAATCTGCTCAAACACGTTCATTTGTGGAACGAAAGAAGAAATCTTCATATTGATCCCCACATATATTCCACCTTTTGGCTTCTGAAGGGGGTGAAGATACTGTAGAGCACTTCAGTCAGAAGAGCCACAGAAGGGAGGCTACAGTAATATTTAGTTGTCCATCCCACTGCACTTGACAGGGAAGTCGTCCATCCTACTACACTTGACGTCCATCCCACTACACTCCAGTCGTCCATCCCACTGCACTTGACAGTCGAGTGTAGTGGGATGGACGACTAAATATTACTGTAGCCTCCATTCTGTGGCTCTTCAGTCAAGTCTTGACTAGCCTCGATGACATCGGGGTACCCTTCCTGAAAGGGGCAATTTGGTAATCGGGGTCAATTTGGTAATTTTTAGTCTTCCCCTTCCAGATTCTCCAAAACGCTCCGTCCACATGCCAACACTACTCGTACAACTTAGTACGTCCTCCCTCGTTGCCCTGCGTTGCAGAAGTCCGGCAAAATTCAAACTCCTGCTACGCCACGGCATCCCAACCTTCATCAACCTCTCTCCTGTAGCACCGACATCATGACTTCAACTCCCGAATTGTGTGAGTCATGGGACTCTCCATGCGAATACATAGTGCGATTGAAAAAACAAGACAAGAAAGCGACGCATTGACAAAAACGGAGCAAGAGAAGGCCACCGCGCTCCTTCGTACAGGTATGAAAACGTCCGTCGTTGTGAGAGCGACACGATTACCCTGGGCAACAGTAGATCGCATTTATCACGCTCTGCAAGAGCATGATGAATCGAAAATCGACGCCCTCCTATCTCCCGAAGCCCATCGCAGAGAACGCCGCTCAGTTATTAGTGAACAAGAGTCTAGTTTGATTACGAAAATGATTTTGTATGCAGCTGAAAAGGGTTTCACACTTTCAAATATTATGACTGAGATGGCGTCGGATGGGCATCCAAGATTTGCCACATAATCTGGCAGCCCATCTCAAGACATCATCCGGCACTGGCGGACAGTGAATAGAGACATCACTCACCGAAAAAGTGAGAACTAGGTTTTGACAAAGTTGGCGGCTGAGAATTTTACACATACAGTCCGCGTATGTCAACGTTCTCTGAAACATTGAAAAAAGTTCAAATTTCCCATCCAAGCATATTCAGGGACCCGACGCGGCTTTGTAACCTCGACGGGACAGCTGTATACTGCCAATATGGAGTTAGAACTAAAGTATTTGGGTCCTCATTTACTAATCATGGCGGGTATGTGGCTTGTCAAGCTAGAAAAAACAACAAGCATATTACAATTGTGGTGGCTGTTTCTGCGTCTGGTCACAAAATACCACCCTTTTTCATTTTAAGGTTTACGCAGCAATAACTTCACAATTGTTTGTGACAAATCACGAGGCGTAATGCAGTGGTCCACATTTTCTGAAGTTCAGAAATTGATGTTGCTCATTTTAATTTACGCAGCACTCTGCGTCAAGCTGTTCGTGAGTATTAGTACAGTAGCAAATCCAAAGGCAACAGCGCCACACAACCCATCGCCACTCAACAATATGGGTCCTGGTAGACAATCCGATCACACCCCCAACGCGGTTGTAGCTCGCTTGCTTATTTGGAAAGGTCTGATTCCAATAATCTTCAAGAAACGATATGAATATCCCGCTTCCGCGTTCTCCTCTAACCAGCTATTCCTCATCGTAGCTAACAACTTACAACGCAAGCATCAGGAATACAACTTTCATGTTCAACGTTCTTTGCGCATCAGCCTTACTTCGTTTGATGATCACAGGTTTCCGTTTATGTCTGATGATGTTCTGCTTTCCCTATTCCGTTTCAGGCGCGAAGACATGATGCGTGTAGTTGACATTTTGGCATGGCCGTTACATCGTAGGAAGACAACGCGCAACAGGTACACTGTTACACTGCTGCCCGCTACATGCGTTGTGTTGCGGTGCTTAGCGAGTGCGACCCGTTGGAGGGATCTAGAAGAACTGTTTGGTCAGCGCAAGTCGCAGCTTTCAGAAATATTTTTAGAGGCGCTGATGTTGTTTGTTTCGCAAAGGGTTGATCTGGTTATGGGCGATGTATATGCTCCTTTTTGGAATGAAAGATATGAAAGGTATGCAGACTCTGTCTATTCTAAAAGTAATGCTTTAGACAGAGTCGTTGCGTTCATCGATGGTACTAATCTGAAGATTGCGAGGCCTGGTGGTGATCATACTCTTCAGCGGGTTGCTTATAGTGGGCACAAGCGCACACATGCAATTAAGTTCCAAGCTCTCAGTACTCCGTGCGGTCTATGTACGCACTTGGCTGGACCTATGGAATGCCGACGTCACGATTGGACTCGGTATATGTCAAGTGGCTTGGATGAAACCCTGCAGGAAGTATTCTACTACGAGGGAAAGCAGTACATCGCCTTTGGCGATTCTGGATACAGTGCATGGTGCTTCCTTTTTGTTGCTTTTAGTGAATCTAATCTATGCGAGGCGCAATCGGCGTTCAATACCGCAATGGCAAAGAGCACAGTCACGGTAGAGTGGTTTTTTGCGAGGTAAAAAGGTACAGGACGCTGGTAGACTTTAAACGTAACATGAGGGTAAGGGAGTCTGCGGTGGGAGCAATGTACATAGCAGCGGTTATTCTAACAAACGTTCGGAACTGCTGCTATCCGAACACAATGTCTCAATACTTTGGCTGCACTCCCCCTTCACTTGAACAGTACATCAACCATCGAAACGATAGCCAATAACAAGTCGTCCGTACGGCTCCCAACGAGAGAATGTGTCGCGAGGAACAAACTCCGCCTCCCGAGCGAAGCGAGGGCCGAAGGAGCGGAAAGGGTTCGAGATATAAAAGGCAACTAGGGTTTCCTTTACTGAAAAATGTTTCGAACGACCATACTTTTACTGCCGCAGATACACTTTATTTGTTGTCCTTTGATTGCTGCAGCGCCGATCCAACGAGACCAAACACCGCTTGCATCTGCTTGCTGTTGCCGCTCATCATTTCCTCCATCGTTTGACGGTACGACTGCATTTCCTCTTTGCGCAGTTGCCTCTCTACCGCACACTCCGCGCGCCCTTCGCGCTTCTCTTCCACATGACGATTTAACTTTTCCTTTTCAAGTTCAAACCGCGCACGCTCGGACTCCTTCAGTGCCGATCCCAGCTCGAGAATGCCATCAGTTAGATCAATGCGGCGTTTCTTAGGTGCCGTATCTTCATCGCTGCTCCTTTCTCTAGGTCTACGTGCTTTGCCTTTGAAGGTTTGAAGGATCAGCTCTTTGCCCGCCGCCAACTTCCTCGACTCTTGATCCGCTTTATCTTTAGCATCCCCATCCTTCCTCGCCTCTCGGTCCCTCTTCGCTTCCAACAGATCCCCTAACAACGGATCAAGCTCTCCCAACTCCCCTCCTGTTCCAGACATATTTCGATCCCTTCCATCGCGAAGAGCGTAATCTTCTAAAAGTTTTTTGAATCTATCTTGTAAGTTCTTTCCCGTCACCTTGTGTCCGAAATTAGGATTGTTGTTGGCCATTTTTGATGCCTTTTCGAACCGCAAAAGAGTTTCTCCATGAGGAGCAACGTGTGCTTCTGCAGCAGCAACCTCCTGAGCAATAATCAAATCTTGAGCAGCTGTAAACTTAGGCTCGCGACCGGGCTTAGCAGTGTCTTGTATGGGTCGGGGAGCTGGATCCAGATCCGGGCTCTGTTGGAGATTTTGGTATCAGGTCGGCCATGACGGTGATGTGGCTGTCGATTGCGTGGCTGCTGAACAGGTCCTGATCAAACAACAGTTCGCAGCATTCCCAGATTTGGCACAATTCATTTCTGAAGTCACTTCACAAACACCCGGCATTTCAGCATTGTTTTCAAACGCTAGTTCTCGAATTCAGAAACGTTTCCCAAACGTGTACACGCAGTGATGAAATTCGTCAAAATCAAATTTGAAACTTAGTTGCGTAAACACTATATTGTAGAGGGTAAGAATGTAATGATTGGATGGATCTTGCCACTCCAAAAGACCGAAATAACATGCCATTCCCTTCAAATCTGATGGTGGCGACATTCGCTTACAGTGATATCACTGTTGATAGATTAAGTTGAGCCTCGAAAAGACGGGGTTATGGCCAATGAACTTTTCAATTCCCGACAGGTCTAGGAGATACAAGGACCAAATGCGGTGTCATATGACCCGAAAAGTTGCCAGGCAGCTTTAGTAAATGTCGCAAATAGAACTCGCAACCCCGACAATCAGACTTGTCGCAAGCTCAAAAACATTTCGGAGGCAGCAAATGACCCCACATCAGGACTCCGTGATGTTGAAATATTGTTGAGCAAGAGCAGGAGTGTGAACAAAATCCTTATGACAAGCACACGTTCCTCGAAAAGTAAGAGTTCGACAGCAAGTCGTCCGAAAATTGTTGATTTGCAAATAGGGACACCTGCCCTCTACCTGACTTTGGACGAAATAATTGAAAGTCGAAAAGAGAGAGACGTAAAACTAGCTACTGAAAGACGACTCAAAGGTGAGAAGAAGGCATAACGGGAACGCAAGCGCGTACAGCTGCGATTGTCGAGTGAAAATGGCCGTGCAAAGTCAACGGCGGGATCAGTAAACCAGATCCCTCTCTCTTCTGTACGCGACGAGCATTTGTCGCCCACGTCTGGGGCGAGGTACGGTGCGGAAATGAGCCATACGCTCTCGAAGCATGCCTTCAGGAAGGATAAAGGCGGTGAAGATGAGGTTGGTGTTGACAGCTAAAAACGGGGGCTGCGCGCGTAGGGGAGAGAGAAAAGCGAGATGTTTATTTCAAGAGGGGTCGGTCCGGGTGTTGTTGTTTTTTTCTGTTGTGTCCCTCCTGTCGCGGGGTGTCGCGGCGCGCCCCTTTC